CAAAAGGCTCTCTGAATTTGCAATTTGGGAGCGCACAAAATCTGCGTCGCAAATTTATTTTCCTAATTCATGATTTTCATACGAATTTACTTTATATAACTAAATTTGACAGAGTCTCAGTGATATAGAATTTCTATATTATCATATATACATTTATTACTTACACTATTACTCAATATATACATTAATTACTTAAATTTCAGTATGTGTTGCTATACTACCATATATATATATATATATATATATATATAAATTATGAGCACTGCTATTTCACCCGACTTAAAATAACCAACTAGGTACCAACTTTTCATTGCTGTACAAGTGTCGTGTTGTAACTAGTGCCCTTTCTAAAAACAAAAACGTCTTTCTCCTCTTCACCGATGCTCCAACGCTCTCCAAATCACAGACACCCACTCAAGCAGTGGAGCTCCGCCGTTTCCTCTCTGTCCTCCCAGATTGTGTCCGCCAAAACACTGCTCACACTCCTCACTTTGACCTAACGCCGATTATGGGATCGTTCGAATTTTGGACACCTAAATCTGGCCGAAACGACCAAGCTTCTCCAAATGGTCTCGATCTCTCGATTCTCTCCGATTGGAAAGGCACTTGTGAAAAAAACACGCCGGATTTTATTTCTTGGGCATATAATTGAAAAATCATCGGCTGCGAAGTAGGACATGGGAAGGCTTATGGATGAAAACGAATCTCAAAATCTCTAAGAGTAAGGCCATGGATTGCATACATCTTTGTGCAGTTCCTTAAGTAATTTCATCCTTCTTTCTCTATATATAAATGTTTACATATAAATATATATATTAATTCTCAATTACTGTTCTTGATATCCAAAAAAATAAATAAAAAAATTGCAGATGACAGAAAAAGAGAACTAAGAAGCCAAATATATATGCAAACCCATTTTTTTTTCTTAATTTTTTCTGTCTTGGGGTGAATTTTTTTTTTTTTTTTTTTTTTGCAGATGACAAAAAAGAGAACTAAGAGACGAAATAGATATGCAAACCCTGTTTTTTTTTTTTTTTTTTCTCTTGGGATGAAAACCGCTTAAGCAAAAATATGTTCAACTTGTATATAGAGAGCTTCAAAGGAAAGGAAGAGGAAAGTGAAAGGCAGTTTTTATCGATAAGAGAAAGTCTTCAAAAATATCATTTTCCATTAATTATACATATTTAAAAATATATTATTAAAAAACTTCTCAATTAGAGAATATTACAGATAAATCAAGCATCTATTAGTGAGAAAAGTTAGCTTATTTATTACATATATCATTAATAGAATAAATAATTATGAATATATTTGCATATGGATTTAAATAAATAAAAATATAAAATATATATGTCATCCACTTAATATATTTATTTAAACTTAATATACGGACGCTCTTAAGACGTTCTAGCTCTAAATCTTTTTAGACTTTGACGCTTTCGCGCTCTTGCTTTTGCTCCCGCTCTAAAATTTTTTAGACTTTGATGCTTTCGTGCTATCGCTTTCGCTCTCGCTCCCGCTCCCACACTCGCTCCCGCTCTGTGTGACTTAGCACATGATTGCCACATTCTCGATTAAACAAAAAAGACTATTAACTGCTAACCAGCTTCACAAAATTCACACTACCATTTTACACAACTGAGACCAAATAATTTATCAAGTATAAAATGATCTAAAATCATACGTGTTTGTGGTTTTAGCAAAACCTGCTCAGATGGTTAGTTTATATGTTTGATTTTCTTTTTTAAATTTTAGAACTTTGTTGAAGAGTTAGGCTGGCGATTTGTAATTATGAAAACAGTTTTTGTTCTCGAAAAACTGATAACAGAAAATTGTACAAAAAAAACTCACTTGATTCAGTTTTCTAAAAACTAAGTTATAAAAATACTTGTTTTCAGACAACAGTCTTTCATAGTTCTCTGAAAACTGTTCTTTTTTTTTTTCCTAAGTTTATGAGAACTGTTTTAAAAATTATAAACCAAACCAACTCTTATTAAATAGTTTTTATGAATTTTAATTCTATGTTCAATGTCTTCTTTTCTTGAATGTCCAAACCATTTCGACCATCCAGATAAATTTACTTAAATTAACTAGTATTGTTGTAAAAGCTTTAGTACAATGCCCCGCGCGCGCGGGGGGGGGGGGGGGGGGGGCGGGAACAAAAAGAAAAAAAAAATGAAAGGGGGGAAAGAAAAAGAAAAACAAAATGAAAGTAAAGCAAAACTAAACATTTGACAATATTTTCCAAAAAATAAAAAATGAAATGCTTTAAGACTCGAACTTGCAAAATATGTAAAAAGACAATTTCAAAGAACATTCATATTGGAACACTGAATCTGCACTATGAATTTGGAATTAAAAAAAAAATTCAAAAAATTCCTTAACAATAAGTATAGTGTTGCGTTTAGTGCATTAAATCAACACTAAAATTTTCTTCAATTTCAAATCTATATTGCGAATTTGTTGCTCCAAAATGCAACATTACTGTTGTTGTTAAGGGTTTTGTGATCTTAATGATCATCTTTGTTATAAAGAGGCACCGACGTATCCAAGGCCCAATTGGGGCAATTATCTCCACTGAAATTTTTACTTTTTATATTATATACCTATATATATATATATATATATATATATTTATATTTAGATTATATACCAATAAAATTTTAATAGTGCTCCCACTAAAATAATAACAAAAATTCCACTATTACCCCCACTCAAGTATTTGAAATATTTTATTTATTTATTTATTTAATTTTTTTTTTTATAGCCGCCCACTTTCACATAAGACTAAAACTCATTATCGCAAGATGTCATCAAACATTTTACTAGCTACCTGCTACATGTTGACTAAAATGTGAAAAACATGAGAAGGCCGCAGATACGATAAATTTGAGACTTTTGGGTCTCACATCAATCCTTGTAAAGAAACATGGCAATAGTAACTAATAAAGTAAAGATCTTAGGTTGACCAAATATAAAGTAACATTCCCTACTTCTCGTTTGTGAAAGCTTTAGACAAAAGTTTTTTATTTTTATTTTTTTTATTTAACTTATTATAATATTTTATTATAGTTAAAAAAAATAATTATATTTGTAGATATTCTTGCATGAATAATTATTTTATTTTATAGTTGTCACTCACACACACATGTCTCTATTGAAACTTGAACTTTTGACCTTTTTTTGAAAAGTAATAGTCTAATATCACTAGACCACTGACCCATTCATAATTATTTAATAATCATCAATAGATGCTCTATAAATGGTCTCCACTCTCGCACAATATAGATGGCATGTTCCCACACCCTAATTTTGATCATGCATGTTTTTTGGGCTTCAATTATAACAACGAAAAGAATAATAGTAATTATAGTACTACTCAAATTGAGAAATTAGAGAGACAAATAAATACATTAACATGAATTACGGGTGCAACTTGTGCTTAGCAACTCGAATCCACCCGAACCCAACTTAATTTTTTGGGAGTTTGGACAATTATTTTTTCAATTAGGTTAGGTAAATCTCAATCCAAACTTAATTAGGATTAACCTTGGATTAGGGTACTAGCAACTCAAATTCTAATATCATTTCTGTATGTGTGCGTGTGTGTATATATATATATATATTAAATACATTATATATAATATTCAAACTATGTTCACCTTTTTTTTTTTTTACTTTCTTTATTTAAATCTTAATTTATTATTTGTTAATACTTTGGATTCATTTATTAAGAATTTGTTTGTAATTTATTAAAAAATTGTAAAAAAATTTAATTTAATTTAATTTTTATGCTTAAGAGTAATTTGATCTAAAACTAACTCATATTAAATTTTCAACGTGGAGATTGATTATATGGATAATCCGAATTAATTCGACTTTGCTAATTTGAAATTTCAATTAAGCTATGAACAAGAGTTTAAAAATAAAAAAAATAATTCAACTACAAAAGCTCACAAAAACCTAAAATCAAATGAAAGGGAAAATTAAACTGAATTATGCAGAAAATACACCATAGAAAAAGAAAAGCCCTGACCTGTATTTTCTGTGTCAAATATCTGTCCAAATTTTAATTTAAATAGGCGTGTGTAAAGCTCACAAAAAACTAAAATCAAATCAAAGGGTAAGTTAAACTGAACTATGCAGAAAATACACCATAGAAAAAGAGAAAGAAAAAAAAAGAAAAAAAAGTCCTAACCTATATCCCTGTGTCGCAAATGGCTCGATAGCCCAGTGGTTAGTGCCTCCGGTGAATTTTAGGAGTCCTCTTTATACCTACTAATTTAACTTCTAATCCTTCTTGCCTTGTAAAAAAAAAAAGAAAGAAAAAAAAAAAAAATCCCATGTCAAAAATATGTCAAAATTTAATTTAAATAGACATGTGTAATAATATTAAATAAGCGTAGTAGAGTTTTATAGAAACTCTTAAACTCTTTTTTAAATAGAAAACATATGTGGTAGAATTTTATACAAACATTTGTAACAACTAATTTTTTTATTTTTTATTTTTTTTTGGAATTTTCAAAAAAACTATTGTTTTTTTGGAGAGTTTTATAGAAACTATATATATATATATATATTTGTTTATATTTTCTTTTATTGAATTTATATAAATTAATATATGTACTGAAACACAATAATGTACTGAAACTGTTTGTACTTTTAATAAAAAAACTCTCTCTATATATATATATTTAAAAAAAAATAGAAAACGTATTTGGTAGAGTTCTATTGAAACTCTATATATATTTGTTTAGATTTTCTTTTATTGAATTTATATAAATTAATATATGTATTGAAACATAATAATATAGTGAAAGTCTTTGTATTTTAATAATAGATAGATATAGATATAGAAATATATATATATATATATATATATATATATATATATATTTTGAATAATTAAAATTTTATAGTGAAAAATCTTCTGCCCCATAAATGGTGGGACCCGACTGGCACCTTTTGTAACACGGCTAACGATTGGGGCACGGGTTCTAGTGGCCGCGTGAACCCTGTTCGGGACAACGAGGTTTATTAGGGAAGTTTAGCTTCGCTCTCTCTCAGACTCTCTCACTCACACCAAAACCAGTTTCTTGAATCATCGACAGCTCTTTCTCATCGAAATTCCTTTTCTTGAATCATCGATAAATTGTTGAAACCATCATAAAATATGGTGAAAACAAAGCATAAGAAGACCAAACCTCAAAAACAGGCCCATGTAAGTATCTTCAATTCCCACCCGTTCATGCTTAATGTTTTCATCACTTTTACACACACAAACACACGCACAATTGATTGATGATTTGTTGAACTAATGGAACTCCACCCTAGAACTGGCTATAAGTGAGTTTTTGAAGCTCAGTGATCGCTTTAATGTGTATTATAGGGTTACCCCATCCTAACAACATTAGTGTTTATTAGTATTTATTTTTTGGGTTCTTCATAGTTGCAGGATTGATATTTAAACTCTCAGTAATTTTCCTTGTTGGGAATTTCCATGTTGAAGGCATAAACTCATCTTTATCAGTAATTTCTTGTTGGTTCTTCATAGTTCTGGATTTTGCAAAACCTTTTCTTTCATAATTTGACTGTACAGCTAGAATTTAGTTTTCGTCTGTTTATTCATAGCTTTTCCCAATAAGTATAATCCACGGAACGCTGAGAGATGCAGCTCAATCCATATAGAAGCAAGGTGTACAAAATCCAGAACAAAAACTCGATGTTAAATTGTTAACCAACAACTTTAGAAAAGGAACCAATAGAGGCATATCAGTAATATACAATGTAACCAATTGAGGTACTCGATAAATTCTTTTCGGCTTTTATAGTGCTGTGCCGGTTCATTATAGGAGCATAACAAACATAAAACTTGTTAGCCGGTTTATCCTTTCTTTTCAGTTTCATAATTCTAATTTTAAGAATTAAGGATTGGGGTGGAATGGAAATACTACATTAACCGTTGCTTTACTGTCATAACAACAAGTCTATAAGATCTAATATCTTAATCAATCCTTGGATGTTCCGCTTTAGTAGGAAGTTTTAAACTTGTTTATATAAGCTAGGGTTTTTGGTTGAAGTCAGATTACAAAAATTCATGGGTGAATCTACTTCAGGCTCGCTTGATCTATCTTTTTGTTGAAGTGTATGAATGCTTGGAAATTCATGTCCGCTACATTACATTACATGCCTTGTTCGTGTCACCGCAATTGTGAAGGATTGACCTGTTTCCCAAAGCTCTAATACATCAGAACACACTATGTCCCAATTAGTCCTAGAAGAGGATTAATATGTCTAATGCACACTTTGATAATTTTTACTTTACTAAAATTTAACCAATTTGAAATGACTGATTAATCATGCTCATATGTATCATCTAATCTAACAATCCAAATTAGAAATCAATGAAGGAAAGTAAATTAGAGAGACAAATATTTACATGAAAAACTCCAAAAGGGAAAAATCAGGGCCCCAACTAGATGCAAATAATTCACTATAATCGAAGACGGAACAACCTAGGTACAGACTCTCACCCCTAAGTATCACCTATAATGAATTTTCTGTGATCAATACTCATGGCAGCACTTCACTTGAGCTTTGCTATTGTTGATCAACTAAATTGTTCACCAACTCGATCATCTCTTCTTATAGGAGATTTATGAATCAACTCTATGTTGTTTGATGAATGGATGTTGTGGTTGATGAACTTCAAGTCGTTAATGAATATCCTAGCATCTGTTCATATAATAACTTAATATGATTTTCTATTTAGAACACCACTATGTGAAAAAAAGAACTATCAATATTTTCCCTCGTTAATCTCTCTCACATGTAGTGTAATTGTGTTTTCCCCATGTTTAGAGAACCCTAGGACACGATGTTATTCTGTTAGAATGATTAGAGATTGATTAAGAATATTATGGATTAGTTTTGGAAGGTTCAAAACCAATTCAGACTTGGAAATGTGTTTCACCTACTATAGGCATCCACCGATCTATACAAGGCAAGTTCAGTCTATCCAAGTAAGTGTTGTGGTGACCGAATGACACACTGAGGCTTCAATTGTACCAAATTATTATTATTATTTTTTTATAAGACTTTAATTGTAGCATTTTGGAGCGAGTTCGATCAATCGAAGTCGAAATTTGATAGATCCAAGCATTCTGCCGAATTTTATTGCAGATAGTCTGACTTTAGATGCTTTATTGAGTGGTTAGATGGACATGAATTAGACATATAATATATCGTGGAAAGCTTATCGAGTTTAGTTTCTAGAAATATAAAGTTAATCATGACAGTCCAACTACTCTATATTTAATGATTATTTGACGGCACAAATTTTAGCTTTCACAACTTGAAATCCTTACTAAAATAAACTAAGGTGGTTTTCAACTCAAAAACTTAAATACAGCTTCTTAACCAAAATTAAAGTTTCCAGATTCATTTCCAATTTAATAGTATTTAATTTTGAACTTTATAAATAAGCTTAAAATAATTCCAAAATAGTTTAAGTTTCCTAATTGATGCTAAATTATTTTTAACCAATTTTTAAAGTCAACTAGAAACTTTCTAGACCAACTCAATTATTAATTAATCACTCCCAATTATGCCTTTTAGGTTACTTTTTCTAAATTGTGTAATTGATGGAGCTTGAAGCAAGATGTTGATGTGATCTTTTAGCTCAGTCTTCAATTTACAATGATACTTTCAACGTTCACTGAACTAACATAACACTATAGTCTTAGACACAACTTTTGGACATGGAATATGCCAACATGTGACATTTTTTCCTAACATTCTCCTCCTTTGGCAACTTTGTGACAAAACCAAGTACATACATATAAGAATGAATGACTCAACTCAACCACAAAAACCGAATCATTCTAACGTGTAAAAGAAGTCTAGAAGGAAGACTGTTGGTCTGTAGTTTAGAGAGAAAGAGACATCTTAAAGAATTTTGTTGTGGTTTGAAAGATGAGAGAGTAGGGTTTTCTATGCCTTATGGAGTAGAAAGTTGTGCAATAATGAAGTACCACCATCGTTGTTGCTGAGATGTGCATGCTGAAATGGATAAGTAGCATGAACTGGATAGAAATTATCAAGGTCGAATGAATACTGGAGGAAAAAAAAAATGAATGGATTTGATTAATGATATGTCTTTGAGATGGTTTGGTGTGCCAGAGATAACTGATGGCAGCAGTAAGGTACAAAGAATTTGATTAGTTTAGACTGGAGGAATATTGAGAGGAAGAATTGAAGGCACTACACGACCTGCATGAGCAACCCTTGACGTAATCAATGGTATTTCAGGCTTGATATAGACAACCTAAGGTAGTGAAGCTGGTGTTTTGACTTTTGAATTAGGAGATAATTGCAATTTTCAGCCATCTGGTATTAGCTGGACTCATATATTTTGCTACTAAAATCCAGTAGTGAAGCTTCCATTGTTAGTTGATTCCTAAAACATTGTGTGACTGAATTTCTTTTATGCTGGAAAGATCAAAAAGCATGGAAAGCATGCCGACATTTCCGAATTTCGTGCTCAGCTTGATGCATTGGGCTTAAAGATTATCCAAGTGACGGCAGATGGTAATTGTTTCTTCAGGTCTGTGCTTGGTTGATAACCTCATTTTGGTTGCTGATCATAATATATACTATCAATGTAATTCTGGAAGTGTCATTTTGGATCTTTAACTTGATTTTTCTTGTTTATATGCAGAGCATTAGCAGATCAGTTGGAAGGCAATGATGAGGAGCACGAAAAGTACAGGAGTATGGTGGTGCAATATATTTTGGTATATGTTCAAAGTCTATATATTTTTCTCTTGCTTAAAGCAGACTTTGTCCTTGCACTTCCATTGAAAGGCATTGCATTTATAAAAATATCCCTTGAATTAATATTAATAGGTTTTGGTTCTCCTAATAATTTTGTGACTTGGGGATTAGTTGTTGGTTTTTTTGAATTACGTTTTTCCTTGCCCTCTCAAGTCTTGTGAAGGTTATTTTAGTTTTCACTTTTCATGTTAACCTGCAATATACTGCCACCAGGTTAATTTCTTTCAGCATGTCTAGGATAATATGTATTTGATTGTTTATCTTAAATGTATTTTTTCTTTGCGATTCCAGACATTGCTATCTTGCAAGGACTATGTCACTTTTTGATTAATGAGTTGAGATTGAATAATTTCCCACTACTGCTTTTTAATTATATTTTAAAATTAAAATACCAACAGATTAGTAAATTTGATATTGGAATTATTAACAGAAGAACCGTGAGATGTATGAGCCCTTTATTGAAGATGATGTACCATTTGACGAATATTGTCAATCAATGGACAAGGATGGCACATGGGCTGGACATATGGAATTGCAAGCTGCTTCTCTTGTTACCCATACTAATATATGCATACACCGGGTAAGATCTTATTTCCTTCTTTCAGAATTGTCTCTTTTCCATCACATATCTTTACATCGTTCATGACACTGATGTCTATTGAAGATTTAATGGAGGAATCAGTGGAGGAAAATCTTTCAGTAATTGATGTTGCTTCATATTATTGAAGATTTGGTATTACTAGAGGAACCAGTGGAGAAAAATCCTCTTTGTTTCCTATTTTCTAATTCTTTCCATTCTCATAATTTATTCTCTTATATAAAGGAGCCTTCACCATTATATTGTATATTGTTGAAATATCTGTATCATTATTTTTATTTTTATTAGTTGTTTTCAGCCTTTTATTAGGTATTTTATGTAAGATCCCTATTATCATGGGAGATAAGATCCCTGTAATCATGGGATCACGTAGATAAGATCCCCATAATCATGCGATCATGTAGATTTTGGCATATTTCCTGCTTTTCTTTGATTTGGTTTCCTTTCTTTGTACCCTATTCTTGTATAAATATAGCTTTTGGCTCTCGGTTTGAGTAAGCCAAAATCCAAAACTTATTCTTTTAGGTATCAGAGCAAAACAAAAACCTTTGCCTCCCCAACGCCGCCACGTTCTCTCTCCCTCTCTCCATTTTCCCTCACCTCCGGCGCACCTCCATCTCCTCCCAGCCCTTGCGCCGGACCCCTCGGGTAACCCTCTGTTTTTCACTCATTTTTTAGGAGAATTCCCTTAGGTTTTTTATGACCTAAGGGTCCTTCTAGTGTTTTTTTTTTTCTTTGTGGGCTGCCGGTGTCTGTTCGGTAGCATATTTGGAGGAAAGCGCAGATTTTTTTGGCCTTGTTTTTTTTCTCTTTCCTCCTGCTTTGACATGTGGACCAGCCTTATTTTGGTACTATGACTGATTCTAGACTATCTAGTAGCCAAAAGGACACTTTATCCTCGGTCCATCATACTTTATCTTCTGTACATCATACTCCGGCACAACGGGTTACTAATGTGCTCTTGAATGGGTGCAACTTCGTATCTTGGTCCCGTTCTCTTCAACTCTATATTGTTGGAGGGAAAAGGAAAACTGGTTAGCTTTTGGGTCTAGTCAAGGAACCGGAAAAGATGGATACTAAATATATTGCATGGGACATGGACAGGTGCACCATTATGGGTTGGATCTTCAACTCAATGGAGGAGCGTATCTATAATATGTTCATGTTTTACATTTCCGTTTTTCGTCTGTGGCAAACCCTTAACAAGATGTATGCCCATTCCCTCAATGATGCTCGTATCTTTGAACTCTATCAACAGATTGCTCATGCATCTCAGGAGACACTCAAGCTAGCAGTATCAGAGTATTTTGGGTACCTCATATCGAGGTGGGAAGAATTAGCATAGTATGAACCTCTCTCCGATTTCTCTGAAGAAGCTGCAACTCTTTTGGTCAAGAGATTGGACTGCTAGCATACCTACAGTTTTTTATGGGTTTATGATCCGAGTATGATGCTATTAGAATTCAGATCATAAACACCTCTCCTATGCCTAATTTATATGATGCTTTCGCTATTGTTGACCATGAGGAGCATAGACGTCAGATCTCTCAGTTAGTAGCTTTACTAGAGCCTCTAGTTGATCAGATGGCTCTTGCTGCTAATTCTAGACTTTCAGAGGGAAAGGTTATTTGTCAACATTGTGGAGCCACGAGTCATGTAAATGATTGTTGCTTTAAGCTTCATCTCGAGCTAAAGCAGAAATTTTCTCGCAATCGTCCTTCTGGCTATGGCCGCACTGCCGCAGTAGCCGATACTATTGGTGGGTATACTACTCACATATTGTTGTCCCTCCCGCTTCAACTCCTCCTAAACCATCTTTTCAGGACTTTAATCAGTTACAGTCCTGGTCAGCTTCAGGAGCAGTTCAGAGCTTTATCTACCAGGACTGGCTCTTTTATTCCCACGGCTACTATAGCTATAGGTACTCCTTCTGCTTTTCATGTTAAAGCGGGAAAACATACTTGGATTCTGGATTCCGGAGCCAATGATCATATGATTGGTGAGTTGTCATTATTTTCTACTCTCGTTACCCCTGTTAATCAGACTGTTAGTCTAGCCAATGGGTCGACCACCATTATTCGTAGCAAAGGAGATGTTCATCTATCCCCTGATATTATTTTGCCATCTGTTCTTTATGTTCCTAACTTTGCATTTAATCTTCTATCTGTTAGCAAACTTGCCAAATCACTAAACTGTGCAGTGATTTTCTTTCCTCATTATTGTGTTTTACACGACCTGTGTTCGAAGAGGATTTTTGGCAGGGGATATGAGCACAATGGCCTCTAATACTTTAGGGATCCTCCGTCGACACCTCCTCCACATGCTTCAAGCCTCCAAGCCTTTGTTCTTCCAGTTTCTAAGTCTTATGATTTTTCTTTTCAAACTTTAAATTTATGGCATTCTCGTCTTGGGCATGTAAACTTTCAGTATTTATGTCTGTTTTCCCCTTCATTAATAACGACTTGTAAGGATAATAAGTTTCAATGTGAGATTTGTGAGCTTTCTAAACATACTAGAACCAGTTATATTTCTCATATGCATCGTGCACTTAGTATGTTTGATCTCATACACTCTGATGTGTGGGGTCCTTCTCTTGTTACGGCTTTTTCGAGTCATCGTTAGTATGTCACATTCATTGATGATTATTCCCGCTGCACATGGGTATATTTACTTAAAAAGAAATCTAAAGTTTTTGCCCTTGTTCACTCAATTCCTCCAAATGATCAAAACTCAATATAAAATTGTTGTTAGGAATATTAGGAGTGACAATGGTCGTGAATATATTTCCAATGAGTTCCGGTCTCAACTTAACCAACATGGTATTCTTCATCAACTTACTTGTCCATATACCACTGAAAAGAATGATGTGGTAGAGCGTAAAAACTGCCAACTAATGTTAGTTCTTTGATGTCTTTTAAGTGGTATGAATGTACCAAAGTCATACAGGCACATAGCGGTTCTTACAGCTACTTTTCTCATTAATCGTACCCATAGTATAGTGTTAAATGGTAAGCCCCCCTTATAAGTGCTTCAGCCTGATATTACTCTTTTTTCCATCATGCCTCGGGTGTTTGGATATATATGCTTTGTTCAGAATCGTAACCCTTCTCGTACTAAACTTGGTGATAAGGCCATTAAATGTATCTTTTTAGGATACTCTTCAATGTCAAAAGGTTATCGGTGTTATGATTTTGTACACAAATACATGTATCACTCTCTTGATGTCACCTTTCATGAACATACCCCTTTTTATGGTTCTAACACTATCTTGCAGGAAACTTCTACTCTTGATCAAGAGGCTTCTCCTCTTGCTCGTCCTCTTCCGATTTTTCAAAAAGAGTCTTCTCCTGTGGTTTCCTCACCCCTTTTGTAGGTATATTCTCGCCGCCCTTGTGCTTCGCCTCTATCCTCCTCAGATACAGGTTTAGGTAGATCTTCTCTCTCTCCTTTACATTTCTCTGACCTTGTTCCTAAGTCTCGGTATCCTACTCGGGACCGCAAACCCCCTGCTCGATTTGGATTCGCTTGTAGTACTAATCATTCTATTTCGCAGTATATCTCTTATGATGGTCTTTTAGGGTTTTACCGAGCCTTTCTAGGCAAACTTGATTCCATTTCTATTCCCAGAAATGTCTATGAGGCTTTTCGGAATCCCAATTGGATGTCTGATATGATGGTAGAAATGGATGCTTTGCAGCAAAATGAACATGGGAGCTTGTATCTCTCCCTCCTGGTGAAAAGAAAGTTGGTTGCAAATGGGTATTCAGTGTTAAATATCTGGCCGATGGCTTTATTGATCGGTATAAGGCTTGCTTGGTGGCCAAAGGGTTTACTCAGATTCCTAGTAAAGACTTTAATGATACCTTTGCTCCAGTGGCTAAATTGACCTCAGTTCGTTTGCTTGTCTCCCTGGCTGCCTCTCACAATTGGCATCTTTATCAGCTTGATGTGAAGAATGCTTTCCTTAACGATAATCTTCTTAAGACTATTTATATGGATCCTCCACCCGGTTTTCGGGTTGGGGGGAGTATGCTGGAAAGGTTTGTCGATTGCGGAAGTCTTTGTATGGGTTAAAACAATCTCCTAGAGCTTGGTTCAGTCGCTTCAGTGATGTAATTCTATCCATAGAGTTTGTTAAATGCCATTCTGACCATACATATTTTATCCACCGTTCCTCCACTGGTTGATGTATCATTCTTCTTGTCTATGTTGATGATATCATCATTACTGGCAATGGCATTCCTGGGATTGCTCAAGTAAAGCTTCAATTGGCTAAAGCTTTTGATGTGAAAGACCTCGGGCAACTCATATATTTTTTGGGAATTGAGGATGCTAGATCTAAGCAGGGTATCTCTTTACCGCAAAGGAAGTATGTCCTGGATCTTCTTCGAGACACGGGTATGCTTGGGTGTAAACCTACTTCCACTCCTATGGATCCTAATCTGAAGATCTCGGCTGAGTCTGGAGATCTCCTTTTTGATCCCTCGCAGTATCAGTGATTGGTAGGAAGATTGATTTATCTTACCAAATCTCGTCCTGATTGGCTTTTGCGGTTAGTGTTGTGAGTCATTTTATGCATGCTCCTTGTACCAGCTCATATGGATGCAGTATATCATATTCTTCGATATCTTAAGTCCTGTCCTGGACTTGGATTATTATATTCTTCTAGTAGGCAGGTTAGGCTATCCTGTTTCAGTGATGTAGACTATGCTGGGTCCAAGACTGATAGACGTTCCACATCTGGCTTCTGTACTTTCTATGGAGATCATCTTATATCTTGGAAAAGTAAGAAGTAACTTGTAGTTTCGAGATCTTCAGCAGAGGCTGAGTATCGTGCCATGGCCTAGGGTACTTGTGAGATTCTCTGGCTTCGATCTTTCTTAGAGGAGCTAGGGCTAAGTGAAAAATAGTCCATAGACTTGTTTTGTGATAATAAGTCAGTCATCATGCTTGCTTCAGATTCTGTTCTTTATGAGAGGACTAAACATATAATGGTGGACATTCATTTTATCAGAGAGAAGGTTCGTTCGAGAATTATCAAGCCGTGCTTTGTTCGTTCCTCTAATCAGTCGGCAGATGTGTTCACCAAATCCGTTGGTCCATCTTTGCTTCATTCCTCGATTACCAAACTGGGCTTGATTGATATCTTCATTCCAGCTTAAGGGGGAGTATTGAAATATCTGTATTATTATTATTTTTATTTTTATTCGCTGTTTTCAGCCTTTTATTAGGTGTTTTATGTAAGATCCCTATTATCATGGGATCACGTAGATAAGATCTTTGTAATCATGGGATCATGTAGATGAGATCTCTATAATCATGGGATCACGTAGATTTTGGCGTATTTCCTATTTTTCTTTGATTTGGTTTCCTTTGTTTGTACCCTATTTTTGTATATAAATATAGCTCTTGGTTTGAGTAAGCCAAGACCCAAAACTTCTTCTTTTTATATAAATTGAGAGAGTATTATAAAAGTGATGTAGCCATTTAGGCTCTTTGTGCCGTGGATGTAGGGCCCTAGTGGCTGAACCACGTAATATTTGTGTGTTCTACTTGTTTTATATATCTCTTCGCCTCCGTTTTATGTTTTTGCAACATGGTATTAGAACCTAATTTCTCTTCATAGGTTTGGACCCCTATTTTGGGGTATTCCCTTAGCATCTGAAATGTTGCTAAGCGTTTTTCGGTGATATTTGTGACTTGTTTGGGCTACCGGTTTGTTCGGAAGTAATGTTCTTCGCCTTTGCCGTGTCTCTGACAGTGTTTATTGACTTGTTTGGGCTGCCGGTGTGTTCAGTAGCATTGTCCTCGTCTCTGTCGTGTCTTAGGCAGTTTTCATCAACTTGTTTGGGCTACCGGTGTGTTCGGTAGTGGACATAGCTATAAGGGTTCGCCTTTCCCTCTTGAGCCATTTGACCTTCTTGATGAGAGCTTTCTATACTGCAGTCACTACCCTTCCTTTATTTGTGTCCCCTTCAAGCTTGGAGAGAGGCTTCCTTTTGTTAGCTACCTATTGTTGATTGGCAAGCGACTTCTCATATTGCATTTCCTCTACCTCTTTGAGAAGATGGACCTTGTCCCGAAGCTAGTAGTCACTATAGGTCTATTGCCTGAGGCTGATCTTACGCGGAGAAAGTCTTCCTTACACTTACAATAGGTACCTTGGGCACCAAACAAAGCTTCTGGCGCAAGCAAGCTCTTTTTGATGTTCTCACAAGCAACAAAGTAGCGCACGAGTGGGAGATGCAGCAGATCTCAATTCCCAAATTTCACTGTTACTTTCTTCCTTTTCGCCTTCCTCGTCTTCTCCGTTGAGATTTCGGCAAAGAAGCCTACCAATACATTGTAAGTCTCCGACAGTTTTTTGTAGGCTTGTTTGGGCTGTTGGTGTGTTCGGTAGCATTGTTCTTCGTCCTCTTCATCATTCACACTTATTGTTACTTGTCGTCTTAATGGCAAGTTGGGCATTCATACTCCAACTTGAGGGGTAGAATTGAATATTTAGTGGAAGAATCAGTGGAGGAAAATCTTTTAGTAATTGATGTTGTTAACTATTATTGAAGATTTGGTGTTACTAGAGGAATCAGTGGAGAAAAATCCTCCTTGTTTCCAATTTTCTAATTTTTTCAATTCTCATAATTTCTTCTCCTATATAAAGGAGCCTCCACCATTGTATTGTATTTGAATTGTGAGAGTATTATAAAAGTGATGTAGCCATTTGGGCTCTTTGTGCCGTGGATGTAGGCCCTAGTGGCTGAACCACGTAATATTTGTGTGTTCTACTTGTTTTATTTATCTTTTCGCTTCCGTTTTATGCTTTGCAACGATGTCTTATATTTTTCTCTTTCTTTAGGTTATTTAGGATAGTCTTAAAACCTTGCAGGCCTACGCAGTTTGTTAGATCACATAGTCAAATTCTTTGAGAACATTGTTTGGTTTTGCTAAATTAAAGGTGCCTTGAGGTGCCATAACTGCTACATTATTGTTTTAAGATATTCTAAATTAATTGGACCTTGGCATCTGTTTTTATCACAGAATATGTTTCCTCGCTGGTACATACGGAATTTTGGAGACCGTGAAGCTCGAATGATCCATTTGTAAGTCTAGAATGTTCCAAGTGATTTCCTCCCATGATTTAGAGCTATATTTAATACTTTTTTCAGGAAAAATGTTAATTGTGGACAAGAATTGGACTTGTGAAAATAATGTAGCATGCTATTCTATATTTCTTTAAAGGAATTTTTGTATAATGAAGTGTTGGTAATAAAGTGGATAGGTGAAAAGAGATTTTTGTAACTTAATTATGTGGTTGAACAGGGATTTGTAAAATTTAGTTGAGTTTTTGAAGATTTTAGGATTTTTAGTGTGAATGTACAACAGTAAGGGTGGACCTTTTTTTCTCCCAATGAATAAAAATTATATTGAAAAATGAGAAGAAAAGCCCACTTTCACACAGGTATGCACCAGCTAAATAGCTATGCACCAACCTATATATTTTAAGAATCTAAATCTCGAACAAAAGAGAACTCAAATCCTATGCTCTTTGAAGTAGCCTAAATAAACAGTTTCCTATTCATAAAATGCTTCAATCATGTAAGCGTCTCTTGTTCTGGCCCAAAGCTGCCACTCCTGAAATAAAAAAATAAAATAAAGTTGTTTGTGACAAAAATCTTTTGGACCCCAAATTCAGAGAAAGTTGAGGCTTGTAACTCCAATGTAACTTGGCATTGAAGAAATAAGTGATTACCAATTATGTCCTGTTTACATGTTTTGCTTCTAATTGGAATTGGCAATTATATGAATCAAAATGATTCACTGTCAATCTTCTGTTACTAACCACCTTCCAGTTGAAGAAAGCAACAATAAGGCAGGTATGGCAATCTGAAATTGTCTTTGTAGCTGTTGTGGTTTCTTTTCTATTTGGTGTTTAATGCTACCTTTATGGGAATGTATAAATTAATTTCTGTTATACAAGAGAATAATGCATACCAAGATGGTCTTGTAAGCTTATATAAGAAAAGTCATTTCACAGTGTTCGTCCTCATTAAATTGTTAATTAAGCGGCTGGGAGGGACATATTGGGCATTGACCTTACCTTTAGCATTTTTTTTTTTTAAACATAAAGTGGTGCATTTCACTATAGTGGTTATATGTGAAGAATTTGATTATTTTTTCGAAGTTTATTAACCTCATGCCATCTATGTTAAGGTTGCAACTTTTTGGTTAAAAAAAAGAAAAAAAGGGCTCGCCAGCCCACTGCACAAGGCTCCCGCCACTGTGGGGTCTGGGAAGGTCAAATGTACCTCTATATGTGGAGAGGGTGTTTCACTTTGCACCAAGGCCCGTCCTCAAATATTAATGTGAAAATTTCCGGGCATTGATGTGGAATAGTTGAATGATTGAAGTTTAAAGAGATTGATAATTATAAAATAGTGATGAGTCTTAAGCTTAACTTTTAAAAATGATTTAATTTACCCTGCTTTCATTTTGATTATTACGTGAAAAAACAGATATAAGGAATCAAATATGTAAAGTGACTCTACATTAAAATGATTTTGGGCTTGTACTGCATGCTTTAAACACTTTCTCCTTATAATACCAATGACTTCCCACGAATGCTTGCCTAGGAAGAATCATGTATCATTGATGCTTTTCAAGGCAAGGTAGCCTTTCAATTCCTAAAATATTATAGGCACATCAAATTTCAACACGAATTTGTTTAGAATTATTCAGTTGTGCTACAGCCCTTGTTGCCCAGAAATTTTTCTTAAGCTACAAGTTATATTCTTTTTATATCGGTTTCTGTCTTTGACCTTTATGGCATTAAACAAAAATTTTGGTTCTGCAAGTCAACTTGTTAATCATTTTGCAGATCTTATCATGATGGGGAACATTACAATAGTGTACGGTTAAAGGAAGATACTTGCCTTGGACCAGCTAGACCAATCATAATCAAGGTTTCCACCATTATTATTGTTTAATTTCTTTTTTAAATCTGTGATTCCTTATTGCATTTATTCTGTCGTACTTGCAAATTTGAAGATCTAGTTGGTAGCCTAATAAACTCTAGTTATGTGAAAGGCTGATGCTGACGTTTCAGCAACATCCCATCAAGCAAAAGCTGCTGTCACCAAGTCTAAAGGGGAAGCTGGTAAGAATTTTATGCATGCGGAACCCATCAAATTAGTCATGGTTGGAAGTGGATGCGAAAGTGAGAAAAAAGTTGAACAGGTGAGATTTGCTAAAGAACTTGCATGTTATTTGCCTCTCTTTGCATGTCTGCAGTTAGTTTGTGTTTTAAATATGGCTATCTTATCTTTGTTTTACTGTAATATTTAGCTTGCATAAAGCCTGTGAAGAACCTCTTTTTTTTTTTTTTTCTTTTTTTTCTTCAGGTTTTACAGCAAGTGGGTGGTGATGTTGATGCTGCTATAGAGTTTCTCATAGCGGAACAAGGAACAGAAGAGTACTTGGTTGAAAGTGATAATCTACCTTGTCCAGCGGATTCTTCTCATGGTAATGGCCGGTTAGTACTTCTTTCACATTGGAGACACTTTTATGTTGTTTTGTTGCTGAATCATGCTATTTATTTATCTTATTTCCATCTTGGAAGTTTGTTTCCTATACTATTAAGGAGGTATCTGACATCAAATTGGCGTTATGATGTTTGTTTACCAGTTGTAGCACCTATTGGTGTAATTAGTATTTTGTTGATTGGGCAAGTTTGCCTCTCACAAGTAACTCTTTTTAGAAGAATCATCACTCCTACAAATGTTCCAATTTAATCTTGCGTTTGTAGTCAAGTACTTTCTACTTTTTCTCATATTGTGAGTTCCTAGGCGACGGTGAAAGAGGGTACTGTGAACCAAGCAAGGAAGAACTTTCAGACAACTCATGCAAACTGGATACATCTTTCCATAAGGAAAGAACTACTGATAATGACAGTTCTCAGCAGGATGAGAAGGTTTTTCAGTTTATTATTTATCTATTTTTAATATAATCGAAATTAATTCCTTATTCTAGATTCATTTTAAAGTGATATTTTGTCTATCATTCTTTTGTGTGACAGAAAATACCCAGAAACAAGGTTTGTCCATGTGGTTCAAAGAAGAAATACAAGGCTTGTTGTGGATCAGTTGCCGGGAGATCCTCTGCTAAATTTGTAATGTATGTTTCTTGAAGACTGTTCTACTATGGGTTTATTTAAGTTTGTTAGAGTACAAGTTCTAGAGTTTATAATTATGTTTAAAGCAAGAAGTTATATTGGTTGACAATATAGGGAAGTATTGCTTAATAATGGTGAACATATCTACAGCTAGTTAATGTAGATGGAGCGCAATGCCACTTACAATGAGGTCACATTACTTCTGACTCTTTATTCCTTTATTTATTTTTTTCCCTTGGAACATTAAATTTAATCAGTAGAAATAAACATGACAAATTTTTTTGAAAATTGGAAGGTGGGGATGAAGGCATTTGTTAATACAGATCCTATACTTTTTTCTTCTTTGTTCAATGAGCTGTCATTCCTTTGGTGGCAACTCTGACTTAAGTTCCTTTAAGTCGCATTTTTCTAACATGGTATTATACTTGTAAGTTGTACTATGGAACTCTAGCAGAGGGATCTTGAATGAAAACTTGGATACAAAGACCTCAAAATATCAATATGGCACTTTGTTGAGAAATTCAACATTCAACTGAAGAAACCTTTTTTCTAATGGTACCTTAGTGACAGATGGAAAGATTTAGAAGATAAGAAACCCACCTGGTGATTTTGGATTGAGGTTGATTCTAGAGTTCGGAGAGACTATAGAGTTTGATGGGTGAAATTCTCCCTCCATCCCCAAAAAAATGTCCCACCTTTCCATTTTTCGCTGTCTCAAAATAAATGTCCCAATTGAAAAGTCAAAGTACTCCCTCCCTCCCAATTTAGTTGTCCATCTTTCCTTTCTAGGTTGTTAGCAACCATCTACTCCAAAAACTTAAGTTGTCAGAGAGGGTGTAACTTAAATATATAAATCCTTCAACATGCCTCCTCACGTGTGGCCTTTTGGTCCAACACGTGTTTTTCAATTTTTTAATTAGGGTGACGGTGAGGTTTGAACTCGAGACCTTTGGCTCTTATACCAAGTTAAAATTGAGGATGTGTTTGTAGAAACAGAGAGGAAGTGAAGAAGAGGAACAAGAGAGGAGAAAGAGAAGTTCTGTGAAGAGCGTGTGTTAGGGTTTCCCACACCTCTCACCTATTTATATATTAAGAAGATAAAATTACAATAGTGTTCTTAATGTATAAAATAAATAATAATAATAAACGGAATAATAATAATAAACTCTCTAACATGGGTTGTCCCAAAATAGTTGTCCACTTAAAAAGTTCAAACAATATATTTTACTTCTTTCCATAAAATACCCTTCAAGTTTTACTTATCAAAAAAAATACCCTTCAAGTTTTAAAAAATTTCAAACTTGATTATGTATATTCAAACTTGCAAGGGTAACTTAATAATTTTCAAAGGGGACAATCCAATAGTTACATGTCCCCTTAGAAAGTTCAACTCCCCAAAAGGGACATCTAATATGGGATAGAGGGAGTACAATTTTTTGTAACAGTACCAATTTAACCTTCTTGCATTGAACTTAGAAAAAGTAAACCATCACATCCTTGTGGACCCACTATGGATAGATTTGGTAATTCATTCGCTACCAATACAATTAAAAGTTACTAACCTCTTAAAAGTTTGATTCTCAAAAAGAGACATTTTTTTGGGACGGAGGGAATAGTATTATAAAAATCCGTGACTTGGTAAAATTGACAGTTGAATTGGAAAAGTGGTCATTCATTGCTAGAGATACCTAAGTTACATTTTTCATTCTCAGATCGATTGTACAAAACAGGTTCTAAGAGAAGGCTGCTGACTATTGAACAGGAGCAGGAGGGATGAACTGGAGAATTGCTTCTAAAGTACTTGTTTGATCGTTGAAAATATATCAAGTTAAAGGGAAAATTTGATGTGCAAGTATAGGGCCAGCTATGCCTCATTGTACACAGTATTAGATTGCATGATAACATGTATAGAGAAAAAATGAAGTCGATTGGGAAGCGAGATAGTAATATACATTATAAGAAGAGAAAATGTGAAAGCTTGGATTTTTGTTTAATAGAAGATACTGTGTTTATAATATTTATGTTTATTGCTTATTCCTTTCAACATTTACATTGTTATGAACTATTTGTTGGTAAAATATTTTCTTATCCAATTTAAAATTATACAAGTGGGCATGCATGGTTTAATAAATCTAACTTTTACTGAGGGTTTCTATATGTCAGGGTATGAATTTGGCATTCCCAACCAAATTGATAAATGTCATCATCTTGATTTTGGTTTACTAGCTGTTCTATAGGTGCTGAGTCCTGTCTCACAATCTTTTAATTGATAAAATTTGAAGAGTTGATGCATCCTTACCCTTGAACAACTGCAATCTTTAGACTACTTATGGAAAAGAACTAAAGTAGTTGATTTTCTTGATTGGATAAGCGTAATGGATATCCCGTGTATTGTGAAAGTTGTGGTTTGTAGCGTTGGTGATGGTTGATCATTGACCTGGTATTGAAGACGTTTTGTCCTTACTTGAGAAGGCATATAAATTTCTTTAATATCTATTATTATATATTACATTTCTAATGTGGTGGTGTTGTTTCAGAAACCAAACTGTTGACTATGGCAAGCGTCGAAAGGAAAGAAAGCAAGGCAAGAAAGGTGAAGCTGCTACTGTTGCAAACCACCATGGATGCGAAGGAGGGCCGCCTGACATGGGTGCACTTTGTATTTGAGCATCATCTGGAGGTATTATTTCCACTTGCAAGTGGAAAGCTCTAGTAGTCACTTTGTGTTGGTGACCTTCAAATTTATCAGAACAGAGGGATCACATCCTAGACAGCCCTTGAACTGAGTCCTATCCACATCCAATAAATATTGAGTGACAACTGAGTGATAATTATGATTCTAAAATAGTCTTTATGATGATGATCCATATAAAAAAATGCCAAATTAATATCCTTTCAGTGGTGATTTATATAAAATTTAAATGATATTTATGTTTCTGATTTTTGTGTCTTCCAACAGAAGGTGCTTATGCTGCTACAACTGAAATAGACATCTATTACAGGTGTCACAGGTCAGTGATGAGTTGTCTCTCATTTATGAACATGTTTAACTGCTGAAAACTCAAATAACCTTGCACAGTTCTTTTCCTTTAATCACGTGGGCCCAGTTATTGATCTCTACATAATAAGTTTCTTTCAACATTTATTTTTCGTGAAAAACATTGCAAAAACCATAAAGAGAGAAAAACAGTGAAAAGGAAGTACCACAAAAGAAAAAGTCAGCCACTGTTCCTTTTTCTCTCTTTCCCTAGCGAGTTTTGATTCTAGTGAGTATAACAACAGTTCTTCTACCCTAGAAAAGAGGCTTACCACTTACCCCTATACATCATAACTGTATGCAGAGTGAAGATGTAATTGATCATCTACTTTTCAACTGTACATTTGCCAAAGATCTATGGTGCTGGTTTCTGCATTTTCTAATTGGAATCGTACTGGGATGACTCTCTTCAGCAACTTTTCAACTGGTCTGTTGACAAATTCGAAGCTGATTCTAAGAAGACCTCTTCTGTAGAATGATACTTCTATTTTGTGGAATATTTGGAGGGTAAGTAACCAAAGACTCCATCAAGGCCGTTCTTAGAATGCTCATCATCTTCTTGCTAGGCTATTCTTAAGTTTCCATAATTTTATCAATGGTGATGGGTTTGGCCGACCTCATTCATATGGGATTAAGGCAAGGATGATGATGCTGATGAGTTACTCCTTTCTTCTATTGTACGGTGAGGGTATGCCCTCACCTAAATCCTTTCACTTTTCTACTTTTATAGTAATACAAATTTCCCATTGAGGCAAAAAGGAACAAAAGAAAAAAGAAAAAAAAACAACAACAGTTTTTCTTGCTTGACATGCATTTAGATATTAGTATTAGACTTAAACCTATGATTCCTATGAATATCATTATTTTATATTTTTAGAATATCCAGAGGGAATGCTGTATTGCTAGACTTTTGTCTCAGACATAAAAGCATGTCTGATCATGGAATGGTAATGGTATGGAGTAACTGTCGTCATTTAAAAAGTGATTGCTAAGCATGCATATATATTTGGTTCTTTCAGTTCAATTGTGCTTTGAAGTTTTTGTACTTGGTGTCCTTTTGCAGAAATGAAAATGAAATGTCTGAAATTTTTGGAAGGAAATGAAATGGACATTGTTTTTTATTTTTTTGAGGAAAATCAGAATGTGGTCAAGGCTACAATGTAATGACAAATTGCATGGCTTGTTAATGGTGGTTAATTCAGAGTGAGGAAGGTAGTGTGGGCAAGAGGCAGGATTCCCCATCAACTTTGAATTCCTAATGTTTGGGGCTCTTTTTTTGTTTGTTTGTTTGTTTTACTTGTGCACATTTCACAATTGGCCACTGCGGGGCTCGAATACCTCACTTTCTCTTTGAGGGAGGAGAAGTTATACCATTGTACTTTAGGAGGAGGAGGAGAAGTAAAAGTAGAAGGTGAAAATACTAATAGGCTACAACACATCGTCCTATGAGAACTTAAAATACTTTAGAAGGTGAAGCTTTGGTGGCATGTTACTGCTTAAGTGGGTATAAAACACAGATCACATGAAATTGTAAAGTTCCCTCATTTTTGGTTGAGAATGTATTGGCTTTTCAAATGAAGATTTCCCAACAATTTTGTTGTCATGTATTCTATGAGAAAAGCAATCTTATCAACAGTCATTATCACTAGAAGAATTTGACATATATGTATACACACGCACATACGATTCACTGGCTCTCTGGTGCACGAAAATGTATGCACACTTGAAATACTAGCCTTTAGATTTCATTGATAGTTTAAAAAGTAATGTATGCCTTTATATCCAACGCTTAAAATTTAATTCGTGAACAAATTCCTTGCACACGGATAAACAGGTGAAGAGTCCGATGAACTTGTACCATTTGTTTTTTCTTTTCTTATCTGAATATTGTATTTTGGTATACAACATTTGTGGGGATGCATGGGGTACAATGTCAAAGCATCACTAGTGGGAAAAGCTACTGCTGTTAGATGGAGTGGCTGACCCGACCTTGCAAGTCTCTCTATTCAACGATTATGAGGGTAAAATCTTAGTGAAAACATCATTAGTGACTTTCATGACTGATACGGAAATATTGAGTGGGCTTTTTCACCGTGGCTAGGCATCCTAAAAGAGCCTGAGGCTCGAAATGTGGTTTGAACCAACCTGGTCCAAACCCAATAGCCCAAAAGATTCATTTCCAATCTTATAAAAAGAAAAGAAAAAAGTGAAAATCAGAATCAGGCCTGGGCCTCGATTCGTTTTACTATCCATAGCCCAAGTCATTATGTCATGCTTTTTTTAGTTAAGAGCGTAAGCTCATGAGGAAGAGATATGTACATGGGCGTCAAAAAGGATGACACAAAAAATTTTTTTTGGACAATTTCTCGATTTGGGCGTGTCATTTTTGTTCCAAATTTATATGTCCCTAAAGGAACTGTGTATTTTTGTTGTGTATGCGTAGCCAAGGCGAAATTGCTTAGTCAATATTTCTAAACAAGCTTTCTCGATCAAATCAGCAAGCCATTAGTCTATTGGAGTTGAGGGACTCGAGTCCCATAATAGTGAGGATTTGTATGAGTGTGTGTAAGCATTTACTTAGAAAAAATAAATTCTCGGTCAATGTGACGGTCATGAGACGCTGTAAGAAATTTGTTTGAATCTTATAAATAATAATGGACTAATATTATTTTTATGGTTAATAATACTCCAAGAAGGCAAGGGACTTAGACTTGGAGCTAAGAGGATGACTCTAGCCTGTTTTTTGTGACTTTAGGCACTTCAATTTCTTGGTTTTGACTTGAGCAATTAATTTGTGTGAAACTCAACTGAATTGATAAGAGTCTTTAAAAGAGGAAAGTAAGGGCATCCTTTTTTGGCAACTCAATTGAATTCAACTACAGCAAGAGAATTCCATTTTAAATTTTTAATGGGTTTGGTACTCTTTAAGGTGGAATTTGATTTTTTTGGGTTTATTGCAACTTAATTTTGTCAAACTTATTTGACATGGTTTTGCCTCTATATGGGTCATATATATACACACACACACACACTTCAGTCAATATAAAACACTCTAATTAACATGGGAAAAAAAAAAAAAAAAGAATTATTATATGAGTTAAATCACATAAAACGGGAGTACGAAAGCGCAATGAAAATATGAGAGAGAGAGATGCAAAAATCCGAATTGGTTGTGATGCTTGAAATTACACAGGGAAGACCAAATAAGTGCATTATTATTTGACTACAATTGCTTTGCCTAGGATCAGTACGATGTTTCAATCTTTTTTGGGAGCAATATTTATAGATTAGGGTTGCATAAAAAGTAAATCCAAAGTATCCCTTCGATAGTTTCAAAGGTAACAAAACAACAAAAGACCCTTTCTCTAGATTTGACTTACATATTCACTCTCGTGGATACTGATATATCTCTTCATTTATATTTGTATATACGCGTGCTTAAAAACTTTACCCATCATGAAGTGATTTCGAAAGATATTCGGATTTGTCGTTCTAAACATGCGTTTTTTTCACTTAGGGTGATTTTAGGGAATTTTTTTTATGAGTGACGAGAATATGAGAGGGACAGAGAGATCACGCGTGTATTCATGACTAGAATGGCACTCTTATGAGAGTGACTACTAATAGAAAAAAATAAATAAATAAAAAACTCAGCTTTAACAAATAAAATCACTACAATGTGGGGGTGGGTGAAGAAGAGGTTGTGTTTAACACCAATCTTGTTCTATCAAAGCCAAAGTGCAACTACAAAAGTTAAAAAAATAAAATAAAATAACAAAAAAATAATAATAATAAAATAAAATTCAGTTAATTAATTAATCAGAAAACTTCAACCAGAAAGAAGGCTGTGACAAGTAGTTTTTTATCAGCCCCATTTGCATTTATGGAAAGTTAGGTATTTGTCTCCTCTATTTTTGGTAGTGCTAGCTTGGCAACACTATTGACACCTTGATATTAGTAGTAACCTATAAAACCATAATATTACATGAATACCATCAATTGAAAATTATTAAGGATTTCCATCACTGGAAAGTGGAAACCCCCTCTCTCTCTCTCTCTCTCTCTCTCTCTCTCTCCCTCCCTCCTGCGGTTGCATGTTAATTACTTGGCAAGTACTTCATCAATCACGGGAATATCACTAAAGTTTTAATTATTTAGTGTTTAATTATAAGTAACATTGTACAGCATCAATCCAGATTCGAAAATTCAATTGAATGTCCAAGTAGTAACATTATTTGACATAAAGTATGCATGTAGAGTTAAATCAATGCTCCTCATTACTAGAGTATAATTATGGTTTAGTTTGACAAATGACTAAATTATCTTTAAAGATGCTTTCACCTTATCTGAATGGGTATATGCCCACCATATCCTCTCACAAAAAAATATTTTCTTGTGTTAAGCCATCATTATAATAGTATTTTTATTAGTCACTTGTTAGGATCGTGTACTAATGCTTTCACTTTGTTATTTTTACTTCTTCCAAAAGTAAAATTATGTTTTTGATTTCTTGAACTAAAATGGAAAGTGAAATAACGTTCAATAATTTCTGTTGCTTTTAACAATTTGAAAGCAAAAACTAAAAAGTAAGTTTAATAATTTTAATTTTAATTTTTCTTTCCTGATCTTGTGCGTAAGAGATGGTAACAAAGTCACATAGACTTCTCGAGTCTGATATCAATATATACACAAACACAAATGATTACAAACATATATATATATATATATACAACCTCTGTATATAGGTGTGATTCTAGTTGAATTCACCTCTGTATCTCCATTGGTCTATAGAAAAAAGTATAGAGACAGATTGACGAGGCTGATATTTACTCTTATAGCCATTTTCCAAACCAAAAATCCATCCAACAACCAAAACAAAATCCATTAGTTCCTATTAGCGAATCATCTCTCTCTTCCGATGCCGGAATCGTGGACCTCAACCTCGTCAATCTTTCTCTATATACTGTGTGCTGATGCCGGAATCCATGGAAACTAGAGCCTCAAATTTGGGTCTCCCTCTCCGATCTCGGAATTCACGGACAAACTGATTAGGAATAAAACTTTGGAGTATGAATTACTTGTGGATGCGAATTTGGGTCTCCCTTTCCAATGCCCAATTGCCGGATTCCTTGCTCATATCGCCACAGCCTCATCGCCGTTCGGTCTGCCGATAAGTTCAGTCCGGCCTCAGCTTGGAGACATTGCTCACCGCCACCGTTCATCTACTTTCAGCCAAGTGGGCTTCGGTTAAACCAGTAGAGAGAGAAACTAGAGAGAGAAAGTGTTTATGTCTTCTCTCTCCTCTCATCGGATGCAACTTAAACTCCATCGTCGGTGACAGCGGCATTTGAGACAACCAGGGTCTCTGATTCGGCAGAGAATTTCGTTGATTTTAACTTCTTTGAGGAGGAATTTCATATGCAACTTGCTCTTTCAAAACGATGAAGGGTTTTAGTTTTCAATGGCTGATCAATGGTGGGGAGGAGGTGGGTGATACGGCGGATGACACCTTGTTAAGAATTTTTTTTTTTCTTTTTAAATAATGCTACAGTACAAAAAATAATTCCTATGAACAGTGTAGAAAATATAGACAGTGAGGATTTCTCACTTTCTCTTCTCTTCATAAAATTAGAAAGTACTTTCTTAAAACAAAAAAGTGAAAATATTTTATTAAACATGATTTTTACTTTTGCTTCTCAATTTTAAGAATTGACAGTAGAAATTAGGAATCATTCCTATTAGTAAACAGGCCCTAAGGCTCAATTTGACAAATACTTTTGTTATGTCTGTGCTGTCGCTTTTTATTTCAGTCACTCGTTAAGGCCCCATTTAACAAATACTTTTGTTACGTCTGTGTTGTCGCTAGTGTATTGTCGTCGTCAAAATTATATTCAGGGGCACAATGCAGTAACAGAATTAATGGAGCAATTGTATAATTTTAAATAATTGTACACGCAAAATTGTAATTTTTAAAAATTTGAGAGGGGCAATTTAAAAAAATTATACATATAAAAATGCAATTTCTTATAAGTTGAGGGGGCATCATCATTCTTGCATTAATCTCATATAAATGGGTCACGTGAATTCTCTCTCCAAAATTTTCTATTTCATGTTAATGCACTTATTATATTCAACTTTTTAAAATCATTTTTTGACAACCTCACCCAATTTTATTTTTGACTGTCTTCTCCATCTCTTACCTTCTATAATTGCTAGTCTTCCTCGTTTGACCGGATCATCATTAGGTCTCCGATACATATTGTTGGTAAATATATACTTCATGTGATATTTAAGATATAACAACCTGAAAACTAATATGCCATAAGATAATTAACAATATGCTAAGAAATGATTAATTAAATATGCAACTCTATATTTAATTAAATATGCAAAATAAAGCAATAAATTAATAAATAAATAAAGAACTTGGACCGAGGTTAGTATTGAATACTATGTCCTTAAGACAATTTACGCCCCGCATGGTGTTGATGGACTCTATGGCGTTTGTCTCATAGGATACAACGGTCTATATCCACCAGTAACAACACTTCAAACTCACGGATACGATGAACCTCCTCTGTGTAATACTCTTTCTAACTCAAAAATGCATTTATTTTATATAAATGATGAATT